CAAGTTTTATGTAAAAATCCTCCAGAAACACATTCCAGAAGCAAATTGGATATTTAGAGGTAGGTGAAGACTCCAGCAAGATAATAATTCAAAATACATGAGTCATCTTGCTACAGAATTTTTGAAAGAAAATATTCCAGTGATAATGGACTGGCCATCAAATAGTTCTGATTTAAACCCAATAGAAGATCTTTGAGGAATTGTTAAAAATAATGTAGAAAGGCAAATGCCAAAAAATCTTGGTGAACTTTATGGTGAAGGAGTGGAATAGAATTCCGGAAAGCATGTTAATTAATTTGGTGGAATCAATAAACTGATGTTGTGAGCTTATTATTGAGAAAAATGGAGAATGGATTTCTTATTAATCATTATCAAATAAATTTAGTCATTTTCATCTTTCAAGTGACTCATTATTTATGAAAATTGGCTAACTCATTGAGGAGCAATGGCAAAATAAAAATATCCAGTCTTTTTTGTTACACACTATATATATCAATGTAGCCGAATAAACTTCGAATGATCAAAATGGATAGTTCCTTCCCATACAAACAAATCATTTCGAAAATATGGGACTTGAATCGAAAAGCTTTTAATAATATGTCCAATTAAGCTCGAACTTGGTGATCTTCTATAGTTATAAGAAATATTATCTACGTGTTTTAAATGGAAAACTTCAAAATACCTTGCGTTTAGCATCAAAGAGCTAATAAATCCATATGATCATAATTTAACTTTTCTTGGTCTTTGATTATAAAAATCCTTTAATAATTATTCTGAGCTGATAATGTTAGTTTAATAATAAATGATATGTACTTGCATCACGTAAAATCTATAGCGGATTATCTTTTATGAATTTCTTCCTTGTCGTCTTTGTGTGTAGATTTCAATATCTTATTAATTGCATGTATTTTTCCACATACATGTAATTTTCGTGAATTATTCACATGATACATCCTCGAATTTCTAATGCTTTTTTTTTATCCAAATTTATTGGCTTTGTTTTGTTACGTCACACTTTTAGATGTAATGTGTATGAAATATTATTAAATTTGAAATGTCTACAACATTTGAACATAATCTGAGTTATTAAATTATTTAATGGAATTGGCTGTCTTATAAAATATGATCATGAAAAGATTGCTTTAAATTAGTTTGGTCTGACTAGTATTCATGCATATATAATGTATTGTTATTCATTTAGCTAGCCTTCTTAATAAAAAGCATAGATGGAAAACTTCATTATGAGCTTGGCTCATTGACCAATTTAATCAATTATAGAGAACAAAAGTTCGGCCTTTATGCTAATAGAACACGAGCGCCTACACTGTAAAACGTAGCATCTCCAGTAAAGAAGGGAACAGATGTTCCAGCAACCATATCACGAAGAGAATGATAGACAAAATGCAAGTAAGCGATTAATGTTATTTTTGATTACAGAATATTTTAGTGAAAATGAATCCAAGAAAGCCTTGTATTATAAATATGCATGCAAAAATGATAATAATAGTAGATGTATGGAACTATTTTTTCTATGAATTTAATAAATAAAAGTAAAATTTAGTCTATATGACAGATATCGATAATGATATTTAGACCTTTCATTCTGTTTTTTGTTTATTAGTTTTATCTTATATATTTATTAAAAATGTTGATATCAATAAGTTATTCGCACTATTTTGTAAGAGATTTGTTCAATTTGATTTCTTCCTTTCTATTGATATTGCTATTAAGCAAATTTTCTGCGAAATATTTTGAGACCATTATTAGACTAGGTCGCCTATTAACACAATATGTATATAAAAATAGGCTCGAATGCCTCGTTAAAGAGAATTACGTACGTTTCTTCAAAATAATTAAATTAAATCTATCTCATGTTAATTGTTACAATGTTTGGTCGTTGGGACCTATTGATCCAGAAAAGGTGACGGATAAAAAATATATAAAAAGCAAAACGATAATAAATATCATGCATGCTTTTTTAATATGAAATAACTTTCTAAATAACTCTTCTAATTAAATTCTATTATCAAATATCTTTTTAAAATGATTGACTGTTTATACTCGATTATGAATCAATCCAGGTTAAAGTTCAAACATAGCATTACAAACGTAAACGTAAACTATATTAAGAATTACAAATTTATTTAAGTACTTTCTATTACAAATTGAAACTTTATATCAATAGCTTTTATTACTAAATTTAAGTTTAGTTTAATTAAAATTTTAATTCTTACTAAGAATTTACTTCTAAGTAAAAGTTTGTTACCTTAATAACAGCTGTAATTTAGTACATATAGGATAAATTTATTGATATTCGAATCAAACTACATGAATATAAATATATATACATATACCGATACAAGTACGTAGTTATCATTATGAAAAAATATATGTAAAACACAATCATAAATCTAGAAACTACATGTAAATGTGTATTCTTTTTCGCATACAATACAATAAGAGCCAATAGAAATCATGTTTTATACATGTAATATACACATACATATTGCTATCGGATTCCTATAAATAAAGTATTGGAGGACAAATTTGAGTCATATTTAACAATTACATTACACTTAACTATATACACAACACCTTACCTACCTATTACTTCCCATGGTGCAGCGATAATGTCTCATTTTAATAAGACTCCCAATAATTATGCGATACAGATATCAACATTATTTCAGAAAACTTAAGAAAATTAAATTTTTCTAAATTCAGCTTCTAATTTATGAAAAATTTGATAAAAGAGAGACTATAAAGAATATTGAACCAGGAAATTTCAATATTAAACACTATGATAATTCTATTTACTATTAGTAATAATGTGTAAAATTTGGATAATTGAACTGTTAATATTCTGTTATATAACAAAGTTAATATTAGTTATAATTTTTTTTAATTTACCATTTTTCATGATCAATTTTATAATTAGATCAAAAATAATTAAGAATATTTTTGGTAAAGAATCGTGTACTTATTTCATTATAATATTTTTTCTTTTTGCAAATTTGACAAATATCAAAAACATTATTGATTAATTTTTCAATTTCAAAATTATTTTACATAGTATTTTTATAATTTTATTAAATTTTTCATTTTTTTATATCTTTATTATTAGATCACTTTTCTTTACTTGAAGAAAGAATTAGTTCTAAAGATCATCAATAAAAATAAGAGTTTCATAACTGCAACCTAATGTTAACATTAATTATTCTAACGGATAAAGCAAATCAGTCATAAATATAATGATCAATTTATTTTAATTTATTATATTTTTATGAATTCTGAATTTTAATATAATATTTAAATGAAAGTATTCATTATTTAAAATAGAAATTAATATAATTTTAATATTTATTTTTTTATTATCTCTTTAAAAACCAAATCATATTTAGCTATTAATATTTCTCAATATGTTCAAGAATATAATAACAAAAAATTTGTTTTTAAGTAATACTAGCATGAATTTTAATTTTGTAATAATAGATGAAAATTTTCAAAGTGATAATATTGATAATAGTACTGCAAAATTTTTGAATTAATTTTAATAGTGATAATTGTTCAATTAAATATTTCTTGCAGCATGAATAAAATTAATTCCCAATAATTTTCTATTTCTCTTTTAATTTTTGCCTGCAATTAATTGAAGTCTGTTAACAAAGCTAGTTAAATCTAACTGAAATTCATAATAACTTACAAATTGAATGATTCCTATTTGAACTTTTACTAAAGAATGACAAAATGGTGACAAATTTTCATTATTAATCTAGTTTCTAAACACATTATTCAAGTACAAGCAATTTTGAATTTTGATAAAAAATAATATTTTAAATAATTTATTTTTTTCGGATATTAAGTTTAGATTATATCACATAGTTTTAAAATTACTAACTAGTATCCTTTAACCAGCTGCTACCTGGTTTCAATAATTTTTTTAATCCATTATCCATATCCGATTAAACCGGTTTATATAATTTTCAAAAAATCGTTACCCTAATAATCAGTTGAGAACTCTTAGAGATGTAAAACAATTAAAAAGTATAAAAACTGTTATTGCTAAAAAATAAATATTTTCTAACATTGTTACAAAAATCTCTAATAAACTCTACCTATACTGTTTACAATTTTTACTTCTCCGTAAATAAAATTTTATTGTTTTCAGGACCTTTAATCCAGAAAAAGGCGTCAGAAAAGCGATTTTGTGAAAAAAGCAACCATTTTAGAGTTAGAATCGAGTAAGAAACCACGTAAAAGTATAATCCCACATTAATTTTTGTCCAGTGATATCGGCATAAGAACTAAAATCATACAGACTGGATACTCTCGCAATCCTATCATTTATAAAATCCACATTAAACATGTCCTATTACATGTATTAAATCCATGGACGTAACATTACAAAATCACTCATTACATTGCGTTTAGTATGATATTTTCGATACTGTGTTACAAGTAGTTTAATAGGTAACACATGTATGAACATGCTAAATGTATATTACTGTACCAGTACATCGTTATTGACCACCACCCACCAATTCGTCCACTTTCTGCAACTTAATTTTTTCCATACACTTATACCTCTTATATCATCGATGACTAACGAACCAACATGTGCTCCTACTTCTGAAGCGGAGATCAGAAAATTGACTACGAAAAAGCTTATCGAATTTTTACAAAAAGAAGAAGATTTAGAACTTATCGATGAGGATTTTAGTGTAATTTCCAGAGAGAGAATCAATGGTCTTGACTTCTTCAAGTTAACTGAAGAAAAGCTTAGAAGTTATGGCATGAAAGGAGGGCCTGCAACAAGAATTGCAGAATTTGCTAATGAGTTTAAAGAGAAAAAATCAAGATCTCTCCGAGAATTTATTCCAGAGCCGATTACTTTCTCTGGTTGGGACAAGACAGAATTTGCTAATGAGTTCAAGGAGAAAAAATTAAGAACATTCCATGAATATATTTCAGAGCCGATTACTTTCTCTAGTAAGGACAAAATGTTAATACAGCATGCCGAGTTACCAGAGGTGACCAACGAGCTATCGGTATCATTACGACTGAATATTCTGTATTATAATCCAGCATGGGCTTGTATTTTTCATAAAGGCATATATAATCATGTGCTTTATAAGGATTAGTTCGCTATATAATTATTGATTTAAATAGTCTATTTCTAAACTTAATTTTTAATACATACATGTATTAGGCGAAAGAAGCGAAGATCGTACACCCAGTCTCTGGTTGGCACCAAAAGATTCAGCGCCGGACGCACAATTCTCGACGACTGATTGTATAAATACACATTCAATTGGCAACGGGCTTTCTCTGAACCGTTGGTATCATCTAGTCTACACTCTCTCTGAACCAGAAAAACAATTAGATTTTTACATAGATGGAAAATGGGTTGAATTCGCTCACATCCAACAAAATATCAAATTCAATAATGGACCGCTGTGCATCGGAAACGATAGATTTTTTGATGGGATCACTGGCTTAATTGGGTATAATTTATTATAATGATAAATAGTGCAGAAATTATAAAATATAGACATTAACGATCGCCATTATTCAATAGCAATTTTCGTTATTATAACTGGCGTTTATCTGCTGAAGAAGCGAAAGTTGAATATTTGGTAGGATACTTCAGGATTTATATTTGCGGTTATTTAAAGATGTTATAATATTTTAATTTTAGAAACATATTAATTATACCAGACCAGCTATGTGAATACCAATAGCTGCAATAATATTAACTAGTCAAATGCCATCAACTTTAAATCCATCAAATGGACATCCAACGATACTACTATTACAGCTAGTATTTCTTTGAAAGAATTAGACGCATTATACAACTATATCTTAGTAAATTTTATTATTATTATCGTTAATATTTTGTTAATGTCGTAATCGAAAATAAAAGGGTTCTTCGATAAATGTGCTGTGCTATTAGCTGATGAGATATCACAGCTAAATTGAAGGGTGTATTAATTATTATCGCAAGATTAATGAAATTTTTAGTTAAAATTATCAATTGCACATAATACATGCAGTGACTTTTAAATACATGTGAATAAACATATTGCATATCTCTTAAAGGAATATATGGTAGAACTCTAGCAAATTTACATGTAATACATGAGCATGTAACAGGAGATATTAATTTCTTTCGGATTTACATGTGCAAGTAACACTTGTACAACAATAATGAAACGCTAAATGTATTGCTAAAATTGAGTTTTGTGTTCATTATTTGCCCACTTTCTGACACTAAAAATTTTCCCCATTTATTAAGCTTTCAGCAAACTTATACATATATAAACAATGACTAACGAGCCAACATGTGTTCCTACCTCTGCAGCAGGTATCAGAAAATTGTCTACGAAAAAGCTTATCGAATTTTTACAAAAAGAAGAAGATTTAGAACTTATCGATGAGGATTTTAATGTAATCTCCAGAGAGAGGATCAATGGTCGTGACTTCTTCAAGTTAACCGAGGAAAAACTTAGAAGCTATGGCATGAAAGGAGGGCCTGCAACAAGAATTGCAGATTTTGCTAATGAGTTTAAAGAAGAAAAATCAAGATCTCCCCGTAAATTTATTCTAGAGCCGATTACTTTCTCCAGTCGGGGCAATTCAGATTTTGCTAATGAGTTCAAAGAGAAAAAATCAAGAAATTTCCATGAATATATTTCAGAGCCGATTACTTTCTCTAGTGAGGACAGAATGATAATACAGCATGCTGAGTTGCCAGAGGTGACCAACGAGCTATCGGTATCATTACGACTGAATATTCTGTATCGTAATTCAGAATGGGCTTGTATTTTTCATAAAGGTATATCTAATCTTGTGTTTTACAAGGATTGGTTCGCTATATAATTATTGATTTAAATAGTCTATTTCTAAACTGAATTTTTAATAAATACATACATGTATTAGGCGAAAGAAACGAAGATCGTACACCCGGTCTCTGGTTGACACCAAAAAATTCAGCGCTAGACGCACAATTCTCGACGACTAATTGTTTAAGTACACATTTAATCGGTAACGGGCTTTCTCTGAACCGTTGGTATCATCTAGTCTACACTCTCTCCGAACCAGAGAAACAATTTGATTTTTACATAGATGGAAAATGTGTTGAATTCGCTCGTATCCAACAAAATATTATATTTAATAATGGACCGCTGTGCATCGGAAACGATAGATTTCATAATGGGATCACTGGCTTAATTTGGTATAATTTATTATGATAAATAGTGTAGAAATTAATAAAATATAGACATTAACGAATGCCATTATTCAATAGCAATTTTCGTTATTATAACTGGCGTTTATCTGGTGAAGAAGTGAAGAATATTTGGTAGGGACTTTCAGAATTTTATATTTGTAGTTTTTTTATATAAAGAAGTCAATATTTTAATTTTTAGAAACGTTTCAATTATACCAAATCAGCTATGTAACTACAAACAACTGCAATAGCAATAACTAGAGAAAAACCCGTTAACTTAAAATTCATCAAATGGACATCTAACAAGTCTGCTATCATAGCTAGTATTTCTCTTTGATGGTACGTATTTTTTTAACTATTATCATCTGATATTTTATTAAAATTATAAAGAATAGAATCATTTAAAAGTTTTTATGAGATTAAATTTTTGCCGATTATGTGCAAAAAAATTACCCACAAGAATGGAAAGAAATTAGACGGACCATACAATTATCATTGACAAAGATATTTACAATAATAGTAAATTTAATTATGTCATAATCGAAAATAAGAAGTTCCTGATAAGTCAAATATGTTATTGGCTGATGAAAAATCGCAGTTTAAGTTTAAAATGAAATTTTTGGTCGAAATTTCTTTGTAATAAATGTATTGATTTTTTAACTATACAGTGGTACCGGAAATTATTTGGAAAATTATTACGCGATAAAAATCATCTAATGCGGTGCGACCACAAGAGCAA